TTTTTTAATAATTACTATCCATCTGTACTAATAATAGTTTTATACAGATGGTAGTGGTAAGTACACATATATGTATCGTCAGTGAATCGTAAAGAAAAAACCTAATAACACGCGCCCGCATTTACATATACATATATATATATACACATATAAATATTTTATATATATATATATATACACAAAAATATCAAATCTTTATTCATATTATACGTATACACGCTATTCTTTTTCTTTTCTATATAACAACGCATTATTCACATAAATGACAATGTACAATTGTTTTATTTTTATTGTATAGCACTTTATAAAATCCTAAACTGAGTCAAAGAATTGATAATAATAAATTCATAATTGGGGAAGATAGGAAGAAAGGAAAAGGAGAGAGAGGAGAAATTAATAATATTATAGTCATAAGGTTGTGCTTTCTGACGAAAACATTCCAGTAAAGGTTTGAAACATCTGCTTAAGATTACCTGGTGTGGAATTTTCTTTCATTTGAAATCCAATCTGACTATAAACGGTGTAAAATGTATTTCTTAAAAAACATAACCTGTCTTTGCGGTTGCTAGAACAAAAACTTCAAATATACATGGAATTTATAGTTCCTTTGTAACTCCTGTTAACAGAAAAATATCTTGTGATACTTACTGTGTCACTGACTCTCTCTCTTTAAGCTTTCTGGTCGAAATAGAGGGCTCAATTGTCGGTTGTTCTATAAGCGGTTGTCCAGTAGTAGTCGCAGAATCGGTTAAACTTCCGGTTTCGGTAACTACCTCCCATGAGCCAGCAGACGTGGTGGATTTGGTTCGTTGTCGACTTCCAGGTACCACGACGGGAGGAGTCTGATCATGTGATACAACTAATTCGTGAGTAATTTCTTCTTCGAACAGAGAAGACGACAATGATGGCGGCTTTCTATAAAACCAACCCTTAAATTAATCGAAGAAAAATATATAGTGTTAGATATGATAAGAAAGTATATGTACGTAAAACTGAAGTCTTTTAATTTTGAAGGGGAAATATTCCAAGTCCAAACCATTTTCGGTAGTGGTTCATCTTGGTCATCTCTGCTATTTTTGTTACTATTAATAAGTTTCAGAAAAGGACTTTGGTCCTCTGTCTCCAGTTCCATAGGAAATATGGTTTCGAACTCCAAATCATGCTTAATGCTAAAATTGATGCTAAAGTCTTCATCACAAAAGTGTTATATATGATAAGAAAGTATATGTACCTATCACCAAATTCTTCAGTTTTTGGGGGTGAATTAGTCGAAATTATGTCCGCTGATGAATATTTATTTTGGCTATCTTTACTATCTCTGCTAGCTCTGCTATTTTTGTTACTATCAGAACCACTCGCACTAATACTTGGGTCCTCTGTCACCGGTTCCATATCAAATATGGGGTGCTTTATCTCGTCATCATCAGACTTGCTGTCACACTGGTAAAAGTCTTGCTTGATGCTAAAGTCTTCATCACAAATGTATTTTAAAAAATAAAAGCAAAAGAAGAATATTTCTTCTCCTTTGCTTAGTCGATCCTGTAAATCATGGCCAAACAACATCCAATCATATGCAATGGTATAGTAAAGCATCTGGTACGGGTTCAATGATTTGTGAATTACATTGTCAGCCCACAAGCTGAGTCTTAACAATGAAATAAATAAAGGTGTACGATCCCATCCTGCAAATATAGTTTAATTCTAATTATATTGCGTAATCGTTAAATTAAGAATCGTTCTTTATTAAGAAAAAACATACCCGAGATACAATGAATTAACATTCCGTTACTACTCTGGCTCAAATACCTTAATATAAGTTTTAAATAATTTTGAGTTAATACGAGTATATCCCATTGTTGATACTGATCCCAATCGATTTGTAACTGAGAAGAAATTCTATCTTCTGGCACATTGATTTCCGCGTCTACCCAGGCCTGAGACCAATCAAATATCAGATTGTCGCCGACGTAGTCATTCTCTCTAAATCCTTTAAAGAATTCACATCCAGGGTACGGCAGTGAAATTATGGAGAAGTCGGAATATCTACCGAATTTGTCTACTTTCTCCGAGGATGACACACTGGATACCGAACAAAAAAGCTCTGTTTAAGGTCTAAAAGTGGATTCATAAACTAAAAACTGATCATGCTATTAACTGCTATGAAACTTTATCGACTCTGTGAAGAATTGAAGTATTGCTATCCTAGTTTTCTTAGTTTTTCTTTTTTTTTTTTTTTTTCTTTAACTTGTGTCCAACGAATTTGACCACAGTAAAATTGATGACATTTCTACTATATTTAAGCAATAAAAACAGTTTAAGCTACAATATTATTTCAAAATTTGTCTCATAAGATATTTCAAGTAGTTAATAAACTGATCTTATTTCCACTGATATTATAAGCAGTGCTAAAGAATGAAAAGGAGAACCATGAGAATTGATTTACTTACTGAAATCCATACTTGACCTTCTTCTTCTCAACCATAAAATCAATAATAATTCCTACATTAAAAGTTTTCAGAAGTTTGATGTCCTTGTTTCTAACTTTATCAAACAAGTTCCACTGACTAGGTTGAGAACTACTCTCAGAAAGCTCAGTTTCATCTATTTCTTGCTTAGTTTCATCTACTTTCTCCTCAGTTTCATCTACTTGTTCGCTAATATCTTCGCTAGTAGATAAGAAATAATCTAGCCCACGTTTAGTATAAATTTCTGCTCCACCAGATAAAGTTGCTGATCTGCATATATGTCTACCTTTATACATTATTACCGGCAGTGGAAATCTTGAACGACATCTGGCAGCGTTAGCCTTTTTGATCAAATCCTTCAGTTTATTTATGTTTGCAAATTTATCCGTTACATCTTCTGTGCATGATAGTGACAGCGGGACATCAATAACTTCTGCATCCCTATATTTGTCGATTTTCTCCTCCTCTAAAATGATAAGATGGGTAGGATAGTGTGAACAGATATCACCTGTATTATTATATATGATAGAATATTTATAATCTACATCAATGAGACTCAGACATTTTTGGATGATATCTTGACTCTAGAAACAAAAAAAAAATATTTAACATCCTAAAGGAAAAAGATTAATCCATAGGAATGTTCAAATAAAAAAAAAATTACCACGTTGTCTGCTACTGTCGCTCTATAAGTGTGTTTTGAGAAGTATATGATAAGTTCTTTTAATTCTGAAATCATAATTTGTGCTGGCTCTGGAGATATGATTTCACAGACTGTTGTATCCATACTTTTAAATAAATTAAATTTTAATTTCTAAGGTGATCCTAAGTTTCTATAATTTTCTTAAGGATGCTTGTGAATTGTTAACCAATGTCTTGCACATGAGAGAAATAGCGCAAATACTGTATTTAAAATATACTACATCACAATTTATAGGTATTTTTTCTATTTGTCATGATTTCTCCTTAAGTTTAAAGGACATCACTTTTGATGTAAACATAATGAGATACTAAGGTTTACAAGAGCATTGTTTCAGTTATAAAATACATGAAAAAATTTAGCTTCAAAATACGTTGGGGATTTTATTTATTATAAAATAAAATATTGTTTATAAAAAAACTCATGTTTATCTTAGAAAAGTAAAAAGTAATAAAATTACAGAAGAAAGCACGATTCTTCACCTCAAAAAACGTTTCAATGTTTGTATTATTTTCAAATAAATATAAGTGATCAATATTGTTAAATAAATAATATACAGTTGCACCTTATATATTAACAGCACTATTTTTTTTTTCTTTTTTTTTTTTGAAAAATTAAATTTACAGTCCTTAGTTTGAACAGATATATATATTTTTTTTCTTTAACACGCGTATCATAATAAATAAAATAGTCTTAAATTTATAAAATGTCGTTTAACAAACTTTACTTTATACAAATTAAAGTAATGAAGAAAATTCGGTAACATCTCAATCATCAGTATTTGAACATCATATGCTGTATCTCATTAATTTCCGCAAATTCGGCAAATTCACACTTGATAGTTTCACTCTTCTATTGCTTCCTTTTATTATTATTTTTTTTTTTCTTCTTCCTCTTCTACATTTTCAACCGTTAAATTCAAATTTCGAACCCGTCGTGCCGCAAAAATTTTTCTCCTTTTTATTTGAAGATACAGCGGAAACCAAACAGAGGCGGTCTGTTCCGTTTACAAAAAGAATCGTTAAACAGAGATTTGAGCAACAATAATTGTAACAACGGATATAGAGAATGCTTTCGTTAGAGCGACTTAACCTTCAAATCGTGCACGCTGCCTTCATCGTAATAAACACATGTTTCATCCGTTGCCTGGACAAAATTCGTAAGAAAGAAAATATACATCCATCCAAATGGTAGTACGAACGTGAAAACAAAAAGTCTGTCACGGGTAATATCCATGGTATCTCATCGTCTTCCGATCTTGATGGGGATTCGACGAGATAACCTAAACATCACACCCGAGAAAATATGTTTCACGTTACACGCGTCGATTTGAATCTGTCCTGAATGTACTGTCATCCTTTTCCGCTTTGTTTGTTACGTTCTCTCGGCTGTACACCGAAAAATCTGTTATATTTTTATAGCTTACCGTTCACGCATCGCATTAAAAAAAAAATAGTTATTCAAACGACAAGAGAGCGTGCCTCTCTTTCTCTTTGCCTGTCGATTTGGCTATAACGTAGCGCAGTACATCGACCTTGATTTCTTGTCCTTTCACCCACGCAGTAATAAACGGGAAAAATAATTTCGGATTTTGTGTGAAACGAAAATGTCTCTTTTCCCTCGTACGATACACCAGCAGTGAAAACTGGCTGTCCGGTGGGCCGAAAGCACGAGGTGAAGGCGTAGAAAGATAACCTATTTCGGCAATGTGGAGAACGCGTGCTTTTACTGCGATACTCTTGCCAATTTTATACTTGTAAAACTTGATACAATCGTTACCAATGAATACAAAGTGTGGAATTCTTTTATCAGAAAAATTAGACTAAAAGATATAATATCAAAAAATATCAGGTTTTTATTCAATAAATTTTGTAAAACTTTCAGAAATATATATATATATGTGTATATGTGAATTTGTAATATTTTTATGAATGTATGAAACAAGTTCTTTTGAAAGCTAATAACGCAAACGTAGTATGATATAGGTTCTTTTAGATGTTGGTATTTTCTCAGTCTCAAATATTACGGTTTTTTTAAATTTCAAGATTTGTTAATTTCATTTTACATCGAGGAATACTGTTTATTACATATTCATTTATGCAAATAGTTCCAGCAAGTTCTCTTCGAGTTCTGTATTCGTTTAGTCATCAATGTAAAATTGAATTCATTCGTTCTGTATAAAGATTTGTATAAAATTTGTAAATTATATTGTATATATTTCCGCCATCTTTTTCTGATTCTAACTATCCAAAAATTTGAAAAGTTAGTATTCGAAAAATGATTTATTTCAATTTGTACAAATATAAACATTTTCATCGTATGTATTGATTTTAAATTTGAAATATTGTTCCATAATATTTCTCGTCAAGCGAAGAAAAAAGTGTAAATACCAATCATGAAACATCTATATAAAAACGTAACCTAGAATAATCTGTTTCTATTTGTCAATCGACAGGTTATACATGTTCAAATTTTCAAATTCTAAGCTTCTACAACAATTTCTCTGCGAAATATATCAAATTGATCCTTCAATATTTAAATAACTTTCTCTCAAATTATTCAAGATGCCTAATAAATTCAAAAATCATTTTCAATAAAAAATTGCTTGACGAATTGACTTCGGTTCAGCGCTAGGCAAAATTTCATTGTAAACATCGAACAAGAATCCATCCGAATAGGAGGTTATTCGAATGATTCGTCTTTAATAAACATAGGAATTCGTCCCTAAAAAAAAAAAAAAAAAATCACTATGCGAGATTAATTTGAATTTAAAAAATTCTCAATTCTGCCGTCAGATGTCAGACGCATTCCTGCCAGTCTGCGATGAACGACGCGGTGAGGGCACTCCTGTTCCAGCGGCGTGCGCATGCGCGGCCGTTCGAGCGGTTCTGGACAAACGATCCGGCGGAATTGGAACGCAGGAACGATCGTGAATCAGAACTGGCACTCCGGTTGAGAGGTGGCAATAGACGCAAGATGGCGAGTACGCGGTAAAACGGTGTGTCGCGCCGCGGTTGATCGTTCGTCGACTTTTTTTTCCCGAAAGAACAGAGCGTCTATCCTGCGTGATACTCGCGTTGGTTATGGGGACGGGGGCGTTGCTTGGCGTGGCGCGTGTTGATAGTGGACGCGCGTGCCATTCGTGATCGTCGTTGGTTTATCTTATCGTTGGGGGAACGTTGGCGGAGCACCAGTACCGAACGAGTTGCAGGACGAAAACGTGTGTGCGCGCGGGGCTCAGTGAAAGTAAACAAACGGTAATGAGTGCGGTACTGGGAAGTGTCGGTGACCCGGCCGGTCTCCTGGACCCCGACGTCGAAAGCATCCTCGAGGAGAAGAATCAGTTGATCAGCCGGCAATATGCAGAAATCGAGAGGCTGCAGCGTGAACTCTCGGAGGTCATCGGCGAGCGTGACGCCCTGCTATGCGAGGTGTCAAAATTCAAGTTCGAGCGCGAGATGACCGATCTCACACGTCTATTGGATGACAGGTATGTTCTTTTTGAATTACCTTCTTCTCAATCTATCTGCATTTGTTTTTTCGATTTATTCGATTTACGGAACGCGATTTTGTACCCCTATAACGTGAAGAACGCTGTTTGTAGAATGTGCGTTGTAAGTCCATAGATTCGAAGCAACCACTTAGCTGTTGCTTACAATTAGAATGTGCTGAACATATTGATATGTTTCTCTCAATTAGTTTACTAACCGAGTGTAATCGGTCCATTGAACGTAAAAAAATCGCGATAAAACTCGTCGATCGCGATATACAATGAGTCGTAGAAATATTCATATCTTTCTAGCTGTTGACTTGAAGTAATTAATATCTTTTCTATCTCGAAATGTTTATCGATTGAAAATGACACGTATCACTGCTATAAAGTAATAATACACAGTAAGATATTAGATTACGATCAGAAATGTAAAAATACCGTTTGAAATCATACGAGGAGCATACGTGATCGAGATTGATGCAATGACGTTTTCTAGCGTTTTCTAGCGGAAAAATTATTGATGCCGGTTACGTTGACGCGGTTACGGTGGCACATACATAGGTGAAGGTTTCGTAGTTATAATTCAGCGGGCAAAAGCATTCGCGTATCAGCGAAACGTGGAAACGCAGTGGCGTATAAATAATGGATCGGCGGCTCTTTGCTTTTCGTTTACTATGCTTTTCTCGCGATACTTATCGACGCTTGGAATTAACGTCTCCCGCGTACGCGAATTGTTCGCTAGTACGCGAAGGTTTCAAACGCATTCAAAACGCTTTGTTTCGTTGTAGCATTATGCGCCATTTTGTTATTTACATCATTAATTAAAGGTGTATATAAGGAATCGGTTTCTATTAAGTTTCTCTTCTCATTCATAATTTTGATAAATCACTAATATTCGTGATAAATACTTTAATAATAAAAAATTATCAACGTTATGTTCCTAATCATTGATTCTTTTTCAATTATTATTTTACGTTATGTAACATTCTAGATTCTATGAATTATTTACTTAACCGTTGTTTGTTTGGAAAGGTTATGTTATTAATAATCATTATTATTGTTTCACATTACAATAATAAAATATATTGCAGAATCTGTGAATTATTTAATGTTAAGAAGAAAACAAAAAAGGAATTCGTTAAGAGAGGTTATGCTCAGATTTTGGATCGTCGATATTTCCCTAAATTACCTAATAAAATGTCTAGATTTCCGAAAAGTATTTTGCTTGTGAAACTGAACAAATTTCAAACGCAGTACAATTACATTGCAAGATCGGGTATCGTAAATCGTAATCGATACTACGCGAATGAACGGCGCTGCAGTCGACGAATGTTTTTCAAATGAAATTTCCAACGATTACGTCCGTCTATCGATAACTAATCGACAACTTTCGATAACCCTAACGATTATTCGGAAGTTCGAAATTCCCGAACTCTCGATATTCGCTCTTCGACGTTTTACGACAAATGATCTTTTTAATTAATCGCGTCCGGTATTTTCGCGACGAAATAAACGACGGCGACGAATAGACGCACGGTCTAATGGAATTTCCCTGTCAAACTTTTGATCAAGTGGAGTTGTTTATCGGCCTCGTACAGCGCGTTATCGTTTCGTTACACGCGTTGCACATATTAAATATGCGATAATATAAATGAAGAAAACTTTGCTTTTGCCCGTGGAAGTCGTTATGCCAATATCGAGCAATTAAAATTGACAGGATGGAAATTGTTGAGGAAGTTGTAGCTTGTTCAAGCTCTGGTTGCTTCACCGTGCTTTCGTGCGATTTTTTTTATGACATAATATAATTAGCAAAAGTTGCATCATCGCGAATTTCTGCCGGTGGAATGTTACGCGTTAATTTTCCTTATTATTTTGTCGCAGTTGTACATCGCATAATTACGTGCTTGAAAAGAGTAACTTTGTGCAGCGAGCATTTTAACGTTTCAACAATATGGAATACCCACGCTATCCTCCGATAATAATAATAAATAGCTTTTAATGTTATTTCGTTGAGAATGCGAATCAAACTAATATCCACTTTGGCAAATTTCCCAAGTAATAATTACTAAAACGAAATCTGAAATTTTAACAGAAATCGTACATTTCTAATTTCATTTCAATTGATAATTGTTTTTTTTTTTTAATTGACATTTTAGAAGATTGAATATTTGCAATTTTCTCTAAATTACAAGAACGAAATAAGAACAGCTCGGATGTCTCGTAGCATCAAGGAAATATAGGTAGTCGATTGATAACACCGGCAACGTTATCTAAAAGTTGCGATAAATGGGGAAGCGTAGTAAGATTTTTTCCCTTCTTTTTTTTACGGATAACAGGGATTCATAGACGGACAATTAACCTTGATGCAGCCGCATTTTATTGATTATTGCGAAGCGAACAGAGGAAACCTCTCTTAGATTACGTTGTTGTTTCGCGAAATTGGGTCGATCGTGAAATCGCTCCACGTTGTCTAAAATCACTAGTCAAGCACAATCGATGCTTCGTAATACACGTCGGAAAAACTAACTGTACATTTCGATCGATTTCATGTAACGTGCGAAGTTTTTTCAGACAAGATACGTATCGTTAAGCACTGTCTTCAGGTTGTAGGAAATGATTGTGTTTCATCCCTATTCGAGACGATACCTCGTTCTTTCGGTTGGATCAGGTGTAATGAAAGTCTCTGTCTAGTAATTTTATTTTACTTTTGGGTAACTGGTATATTCGTAGAGGGTGAAAATGGTTCTGGGGACATTTAGGATTTTTATCACGTTAACATCGAATATTTTTGTATCAATGTTTGGATCTTTGGCTCTTCCAATCTGAATCTTTAGACTTTTGATTCTTTAAATTTTTGAATTTTTGAATTTTTGAATTTTTGAGTTCTTGAATTTTTGTACCTTCGAATTTCTGAATTTTTGAATTCTTAAGTTTGTGAATCTTCGAATTTTTAAATTCTTAGATTTTTGAGTTTGCGAAGCTTTGAATTATTGCTTCTTTAAATTTTTGAATTATTGAATTTTTGAATTCTCGAGTCTTTGAATTTTTGTACCTTCGAATTTCTGAATTTTTGGATTCTTAAGTTTGTGAATCTTCGAATTTTTGAATTCTTAGATTTTTGAGTTTCCGAATCTTTGAATTTTCGAATTTTCAAAGTCTTGAGTTTTCGTACCTTCGAATTTCTGAATTTCTGAATTTTTGAATTTTTAAGTTTGTGAATTCTGAATTTTTGAATTCTTAGATTTTCGAGTTTGCGAATCTTTGAATTTTTGCTGCTTTAAATTTTTGAATTCTTGAATTTTCGTACCTTCGAATTTCTGAATTTTTGAATTCTTAGAT